ACAAGAATAAAAAGGATAGCATAATCTAACAAGAACGAGAATGTAAACAAGAAAGGGAGGGAAAATAGTTGCCACAATCCATTATAAAATTAAGATTAATGGTATATTAAATATGGCATAATCTACAATTTTATAACATCACAGGAGGCTCCATAATTTGCTGTTTTTACGTGCCTCACTACCTAGGCAGATACTACGGTGTGAAACAACTCCTGAATTTCGTGTGATTATGAAGAGTTCTTTTTTTTTCATGGGAGGAACCAGTAGACAGTCTATACTGAGAGCTAGTGAGAATCATTTAGGGTACAATAGGACATAAAGGTAAGTGATTAAGGCCTCACTCCCCTCCCTTCCCCCCTCCCCCCCCCCCGAAATGGCATATATCCACTAAGGTAGAGTAGACACCTGCTTGTCCAGTTGCCAAAATATTCTGCGTCCTGAGAGAGAAAGGAGGTGGCAGCAGCAAGGGAGCACTGATGTTCTCCCTTTTCTACACAGCTCCCTGGTGCGCTCTCTGGTGATACCGGGATATTATGTCACTCTGGTTTTAACTAAACCCAATCACTAAACAGTGCGCGAGGGAGCCGTGTGGAATTTGTGTGTCAAATCAGTGAAAATGTGTGTGTCTGTCTGTCATTGTGATTGTGTGTGTGTGTGTTGGTTAGACAGTGTGTCTGTTGAGTGTGTGTGTCAGTGTATATGTATAAGTAAGAGCGTAAGGGGGACCCTTCTGATTCTTGCACTGGGGCTCTGTGATTCCTAGTTATACTTCTGCAAATGACCATGGACTTTGCTTTCTTTAGCACTATAGAACACACATCCATGATCAGCTGGATAAATCTACTGACATCCACACACTAAGTTGAACAGGTCCATACACAATCATCCAGTAGATATGTAGGTAAAGTAACACAGACGCAGTTTTAACAGAGTTTTAAAAAAGTAATAATAAGTGTCCTTGACGGGGGGAGGGGGGGGGGAACTAACCTCCAAAGCAGATGGCTGCATGATCCTGAAGCTCCGAACTTCACACTGCTAATATACCAGCTTAAAGAGCTTTTCACTTTGCTGGCTAGATCTTGGTGGCTCACTGGATAACCCAAATATCATGAAGTGCAAATCCAAATAACCAAAGCCAGACAGACCCAGCTTTGGGATGAATATTGGCAATCTGTGGAGCCAGGCAGCTGGTGCAAGTGGAACCAAGATGACTGCCCTCTCTGGGGGCTGGCAGGATTTCTCAGATGAGCTGTCCTACGAAGCAGAGGAAGAATTCTTACCTGCACCCGCAGATGGCACTAGACTCCTCCCTGGTAACCACTTCTGTCCTGAAGGAGCTCTGAACGGATGTGCAGAACAATATACTAGCAGACAAGGCGATGATCCGTTGAGGCTACTGGGCCTGACAGACCGCATCAGAGCACTGGAGGATGCTTCACACAAAGGTAAATAAAAAGCAGAGTCACTCTATTAAGAGGTACAAGAACTGCAGAAACAGAACCAAATGTATGAACGCCACTTTGTTGCACAAAAGGATATCCAGCATCCGATCAACTTAAAGGTCAAAGGGGTCCCTGAAGATGTCCCTGCAGCTGAATTACCACACTTAATGAGGTGAGTGCTGGTGGCCTTGCTGCCACCACAGCAGTCCAAGGCAGTGATTCTAGAGTGACTTTTTTGTGTCCCCATGCGGGCTAAGGTGAAGGACACTATCCTGAGTGACCTGGTAATCCACTTCCAGAATGGGAAAGACACAGCAGTGTTCTTAGCTGCCTTTAGAGGGAAATCAATTTGAGAATATGATGTTGGCATTTTACGCAGATCTATCAGGCAGCACTTTAGTCTGGCGTAGAACCCTCAGGCCACTCAACTCTCTCTTACAACAGCACATTGTTTGCTATCGCTGGCGTCTGTCATGTACACTCCTTGTTAGTCATGGATACACCACTTACCCTCTTCAAGATCTTCAAGGTGCAGCAGCGCTTTTGTGAGACTTTGGTCTCCCACAGGGCCCTCTAACCAAAGGAGGGCCCAACAACATACCCAAAACCCACACACCTGAGGCCCAGCAAGAATCACCCTGCTCATTCCACAACAGTCCACATCGGACTCATATGCTGCCACTAGAACCTGAACCGGAACCCCCATAATAATGTTTTCAGTCAATTGTCAGTTTCTTCTCTTGGGTAGATCAGTCACCTTTATTTTTCGCAGACCAACTGGTATTATTACCAAAAATTCCACCATGCCTCATGCCCTGCCTTGCTGGTAGTACGCACACACATTAGGCAAGAGAGGCATTAAAATCTCCTTTAAATCCTTAGCCGAGGCAGCTTAACCATCATTAACCTAACTTAGACCGACCACATTTTTTTCGTGTTCCTTTGCAGTTTTGACTCATGGACGCCTAATGTTCCATAACATAGGGTACGCACATTCCTCTACTGTTAAGCCTATTTCAGTATAGTATAATCTGTTTATTCTTTATAAAATGTCAATTCATGGTTTATTATTATGTGCTACTTTTGTATATTCGAGTGTGTAAAGTCTGCATTTCTGGCAATGATGCCACATGCAGTAACACATAACTATGAACTGATGATAAAATAAAGAATTAAGAAAAAGTAAGTGTCCCTGACATCCAAATATTAAAAACAGGCCCACGCACAGCCACTATATAAAACACGTGCCTATTTACAGTCTCTTAAACAAGGAAACTCATCTAAAGCTATTTAAAACAGTTCAAATTTAAGCCACACAGCAAAACGCAGAACATTACTCTAACACAGTAAAAGAAACAGACATAGAAGCACAAGTCTATTAGCAGCCACAACCTATAAATCTATAAAAACCTGTAAACCCACTCCTAGCATTTGCGAAATGCAAATTGTAGCTCTTAGCTACAAAGTAAAAAACAGATCAACTCACAGCCTAGTTGGCTGCAAATGATTGACAGATGGTGTTTTTTTTTTTTGTTTGTTTGTTTTTTTTACCAACAGTTACTAATAACAGTAGTCTTTTTATTGTTTTAAGTTGAACAGATGGATATGATAGGTGTCGTTTACATTACCGAACACAATGCGGTAGGACCTAACAACATACAAAATATGAATTAAAAATTCCATGGTTGGTTCCAAATAGGTACTATAGAACACAGCCTGCATGGAAGAAATTGTTTAATTTTCAATATGCCAGTGCATGGTGTATACTTAAAAAGTTTATATCTCCCGCACTGTTAATTGAAGTTTAATCACTTAGAGGAGCCTTCTGTGGGCTTTTAACAGAGGAGGGGATTAGAAATTCTAAATTAAACACATTGTGCAATAAAGGATGTTTTAAATATTACTTCTCTCTTTACAGGAAATGTTTAGGGATGATGTATGAGTCACAGCCTAGGGATGCATAAACAAGTGATTTAACTGCTAAATGTATTGGCATGCTATATACACTAAAACCACAACATTAAAGTTGTTATAGTGTCACTTTAATGTTTCAGCCTCGCCAGTTAGGTGCAGCAACATAGCATTTTATGTATCGAGGGTTTGTATTGTATCTTTCATCTACAGTTATCTTTTTTTATTAGAATAAACAGGCAATCGAAAACATCTGAGATTCAAGAATTATTCTAGGTGAGGTGTTTGTTAGAGATTCTTGATAAACAAGGTTGCTAATTGGCACTGAAAATGTATTAAAAATGTAAACAATGTTTGCAGTTTTCACAGTATATGGAATTCCTTCTCACTGTAAATGTATTTCCAGCCAAGGTGCTGCTAATATGCATCATGATTGGAAACATTAGTTATCATTAAAAGCAGCCTCCAACTATCTGCTGACTGTAATGGTCTCCCAGGGGGGCTAAGTATGAACCAGCGAGAGTTCCTTTAATATATTAGCTGCAGAACTTAGGTGTCATGCTGTATTTAGTGTTTCACAATCATCTATTCCTATATCCCAGGTTTAAATTAGGTTTATCACTACTATGATGGTGATTATTATTATCCTGAACATTCGTATTAATGATAAACACTGTGTACCTATTAAGAATAGCGATAAGAAAGAAAGAACAATGTGATTTAGAAGAAAGGCTGATTCAGACCATTCCAGCAATGTACCACA